GGAACTGGAACCAGTTGAGTGTTTTGTTTTTCGACAATTCAACTGGTCTTCAACTGGTGTCAGTTCCAACTGGTCCCAATTCCAACTGGTCTTCAATTGATCCAAGTTCCAAATGGTTTTCAATTGGTCCAAGTTCCAACTGGTCTTCAAGTGGTGCCAGATCCTTTTTGTAAAATAACAATGGCTTTAATCAACTCCTGTAGACTTACAAAAAACACTAAGTTTAAGATATACAAACCATAATTTCTTTAATTAAAAAATGGTTTAAGTCTTCTGCTACACATACTGTACCTCAAATTCAAGCTTATTCTAGAGTCCTTCGCTTTACAGTCCTGTATAAATCAGCATTTTTGTCCGTAATATAGGCATATTATATTAAAGCATCACTAGAGTTTATTACTGTATATAAAACAATAATCACAAGAACCTTGTGTGTTAGCATGCATTAACCAGCATTCTTTGTATATTGAAGCAGCTGCCACAATGATGCTTTTTCATGTCCGATGGTAGCAAGCTAAATTAAAATTCTTGCTAAAAGATCAGATAGTATGAATTCTGCAGTTGAACAAATCAAGCTTAAAATATTGAATCACGTTGGCTTGTACTAACTTTTTTCGGAGTTTTACACTTGCTGAAAGATATAACAATAACAAAATCTGAAATAAGAATAATAATGGCTAACTTATATATAGAGCACATATTACATGGAAACCTCTATGCGCTTTTAAACAGGAAAAAAACATGCCAAGAATGTAAAACAGAGCATATGCATTTTATTGTGGTGGGAATTTTAAAACCCTTTTTTGAAAAAATAAAAATGAATGAAAAATCAGACTATACAGGTCAATTATAAGAAATTAAGGGGCAGGGGAAAATGACCTTTTGTCAATTTAAATACCTATGCTCAATTTTTTATTTTTTAAATAATCTTAATTAAGGTGATATATGTCTAGGAAAACGAATTAAATTGTATTAAATGTACAGTACCTTAATAAATACAATTTTAAATGTGTTATATCCCTTCGAAATTAATGTATAAGTATGATATGCATAATGTACAGTAGCTAAGATAAGTAAGAGACTAGAATTTTTTTTTTTTCAAAAGTGAATTATCAGTTTCCATTCCTTTTTATTTATTTTTTTTTAGTTTTCAAAACAGTTACAATTTCAATGTCCCTTATAGGCCAAATCAAAGGGTATAAATAGAACAAAAGTGTGTACTCCCGTTTATAGAAACGTCATAGCTGTGTAGAATGCCCGCGTTCATTTGTGTACTGACGTATGCCCGCTATTTACTTGGCAAGTAGAAAAACAGACTTGAAAATGGTACAGGACGTGGATGGACATACAAATGACAGCGGGCATCTTACACTGGCTGCATACTAGGGCATATCGCTTGTTTACCCTCTCAATGAGTGCAGTTGGCTCTTTTGTTCCATTTGGCCTAATTACGTACACATTAAATTTGATTACTGATCTCCCTCTAATGAAAGACCGCTCCAATTAAAGACTACCTCTAAGTAAAGACCACTTTTCTGTATTCGCAAATTGACTATGTCTTATTTTTACTATTCTAACTAGAGACCGAAGCTGCTAAAGACCATGAAAATCCCGGTCCCAAAAGTGGTCTTTGATTGGAGGGAGACCTGTATTTAATAACCGTCATCATATGGTAACTACAGTACATATCATTTATTTTAAGCATGGTGCTAATCAGAACCTAGGACCAGTAAACTTAAAACGTAAAGAAAACATTATATTCACCTTTGACGAAAGCAGGTAATTTTCTGTTTGTTCCATCAACTGCCAGACACAGTAAGGCTTCAGACAAAGATATTCTGAAATAAAAGTCACCATTTATATTAATTAATAATTGGTGATTGGTACATACATCAACTTTCAGCAAATAATAATTGCTAGACTAGCCTTTAACCCCACCCCGGTTTAGGCCAGGCCCTACCCCTAAACACTAACTTTATTTCAATAAAGCATGCATTTGATAGCTTAAGCCTATATATATTATAATGATTATGAGAACACAGCCTAATTACCATTCTCATAACTAAACAGGCTATGAGGCCAGGCTGCAGTTTAGCTAGGCCAACAAAGGCCCTATGGCCATCCCTAAGGCTACGCTAGCCTAGTCTATCTATATCCTCACTGAGGATAAATAGCTGGCATAGAGAGAGAACAGTGTGAACTGTCTATGCCTATGACTATGTCTATGCATGATGCACAAATATGCCAGGCCTGGCCTAGGCTAGGTCTCTCCAAGTCTTTCTTACTACCACTACCCACTACTGTATCATGCCTATTAATGCCATACCCTAGTAGTAACCCACATTAACTGAAATAATAAAACAAACCTCTTACCTCCATAGTGGATAATACTGCTAAACTACCTTCCAAAAATGTATAAACTGACTTAACTCCACCATCATGAATTCAAAAACACAGTACTCAACTGAAGTGACCAATCAGAATTGAGTGCAATTCGAGATACTTCCTGGTTCTCTAGTAACAGGTTAACTGTCTGCTAAAATTGATTAAATAAGTTCATTGAGGTAGACTAATTGGCCCAGTTGGGTGTGTCCCCCACCCCAGGAGAAAAGCCACGATTCGTTTAAGATAAAACAAATATGTATTTTTTACAAAATTAGACAGATTCTAAAAATAAAATCGATTAAATTGAGATAGACTAATTGGCCCAGTTGGGACAGGTAGGTCCTCCCCCCCCCCCTCGTCAGGGAGAAAACAGAAAATTTGTTTAAGATAAACAAATATGTATTTTCTACATAGGCAGATTCTAAATATAAAATTGATTAAATAAGTTCATTGAGGTAGACTAATTAGCGTTGAACAAGTGATAGACCAGCGTTGCAAATGTAAATTGGGTAAAAACCAGTCGAACCAACTGGACCTATGGGAGATCATTGAACCAACTGGACCTATTGGGCAGACCAGTTGGACCAACTGGAACTATTGGGTAGACCAGTTGAACCAACTGGACCTTGGGTAGACCAGTTTTGGACAACTGGACCTACTGGGTAGACCAGTTGGACCAACCGAACCTATTGGGTAGACCAGTTAGACCAACTGGACCTATTGGCTAGACCAGTTGGACCAACTGGACCTATTGGGTAGACCAGTTGGATCAACTGGACCTATAATGTAGACCAGTTGGACCAACTGGACCTACTGGGTAGACCATTTGGACCAACTGGACCTATTGGGTAGACCAGTTGGACCAACTTGACCTATTGAATAGACCAGTTGGACCAGTTCAACCAGTTGGTACTACCAATTGGACCAGTTCAACCAGTTGGATAGGCCAGTTGGACCAGTTAAACCGGTTTGGGAGACCAGTTGTACCAGTTGGAATTCTAGTTGGACCAGTTGAAAACCAGTTAGACCAGTTGGAAACCAGTAGGACCAGTTGGGATTTCCAACTGGTCCCAACTGGAATTTATACCTGGGTGGTATTAGAAACGTCATTATAAATACCTTTTCTATGGAACGCCAACTAGGTCAATTATAATGTAAAATCTGCATAATTACTAAATCATTATTTAAAACATCACTTAGTTTGATGCAAATATCCGACCAAAGAAAAGAAACCGCCGGCACACTTGTCCAGTTTTACTAAATTTCGCTGATAACGTCGCAATTTTGATTAAATACCGTAGTAGTGCCTAATACATACAGTATTTTTCTGTATAACATGCGCATATTTGATTCTCATATTTCAAGCAAAAATCGTTAATCAAGTTTATCAACGTTAGTAGTCGTCTTTATATAATAATACAGCCAACAAAATCTATTTGATTTTATTTGATTAAAAGGGCCAATCTCCGGCCACAACAAAATTGAGAATCTGATGTAAACTGCTACATGTACTTTCTTGAAAAGCATTGATTGAACATTAGTTAATAGGTCGACTCCAATACCGAGGGAGGATAGGCAAAAACTGATGCGTCGCTATCTTAAGTTCTTTGATAATTACTATGTTGTGTAAAACAGAGCAACAACGAAATATTACTGAACTATATTTATTCTCTTTTCTACTCCAGAGGGTGCTATGTATGTCAGCTTACAATGCTGTGTGGAGTGAACATCACATCCCTCATTTTGCTGAAATTAAAGTATACCCCAGTTATCTATGATTAGCTGTGCTAGTTGAATATCAGTAACATGCTATACACTACTTTTGTATGAGATCTTTTCATAAGAATATTGTTTTTTTTTTTGTCTAACACATAATAAGAAAAACATTGTTAAATTTGAAATATTCTTTTTCGATTATGATTCATTTTTTAGCAAATATAAAATAAACTATAGTTCTTAAACAATATTGTTGATGACAAGGTTTCATGCAATATCTAATCAGTCTATAAAATTACTATTGAATGAATGTTCTTTCATAACAATAAGTTCTGCTAACAGAATAAAACTGATTGGTAAGTTTTAATTCAAGTTCAATCAAATGAAATCAAAATAAAATGTTGATCAGTATCAGCTCATGATGTATTTAAGATAAATCAATGCAATCAAGATATTGATCAGTGTTCATTCATTTATGACAGCGTTTAAGGTTCAACCAGCATGAGTTACGTAGTCTTGAAGATAACCAGGACGCTTCCTATTCCGCTTCGGTAACTGATCTTCATTTCCAGCGAGACTGATATCTCTTTTCAGCTTCAGCTGTGGATTCACACTGATCTCTAATCTTCTTGAAGAGTGATGAATTTCGTGTTGCAGAATGATCACCACTTGCTACTGTGATCATCAAAGACACTTCTTTGCGATGACATTTGGTTGAGGATCATAAGGTGTCTCCATCTTTCTCTTTTTACAAGTGCGTTTAACCACTAGAAGACGGCTGAACATACGATTTGCTCTCAGTCTGCATTTTCGTCTTTTTGTTTGCTAGTTCATCTTTCGTACGCATTTCTGTGTTCTCTGGTGTCATGACAGCCTCTGGCAGTTTAATGAGTAACGGTCTAGAGAACAAGCGGGCGCTGGGGTACATTGGTACTTGAGTGTGGTGATCCACGGTAGTTGTGAAGAAACTTCAACATTTCATGTGTCCAGTTTTTACCTGTTGTCATTGAAGCCTTGATAGCTTTCTTGATAGTCTTCATGAAGCCTTCTGCCTCGTCGTTCACCCTTGGCCAGTATGGTGTGGTTTTACGATCTTTGAAGCCTAGATCATTTGCAATAAAGCTGGAAATCTGTACTGTTGAATGGCGATCCATTATCGGATTTAGCACATTTGGTACACCAAATTCTGAAAAGATCTTCTCGATTCTCGGAATGACAGCTACAGCAATAACTGATTTGATGACTTCTACAACAGGAAATCGAGAATAGTCGTAGATTATGACGAGAAGATATGCTAAAGGCAATTCAGCAAATTCAACGATTAACTCTTTCCATGGACCTGTTGGTAGCTTGGACATTAGTAGGGGTTCTCGGCTAGGTGTGTCTGTTGCTGCCTGACATTGGAAACAACTTCTAACAACGTGGTCAACTGCCTTGTCTAGACTTCGTGTTTCACTTTTTCACAGCGGGTGTAGAACTCTGAGTTTACTAACGGGTTTGTATGTCTGCGATACCATTTTCCGGTTGTTGTTGCTTGCATAACAACTTTCATTGTTTCCTCTTCTTTTATGTAGTTTATGTATTCTTCGGCTATTTTCTCCTCTCGGCTGGTTTTCACTTGGGCCTTGTAGGGGTGTCTAGCTATGTAATCAGCTGGGTTATCTGGTCCAGAAAGATAAATGACCTTAACGCCATAAGGCTGAAGTCTCATTGCCCACCTTTCAAGTCTTGTGGGAGGAGTAGAGTTTGGATTCCAATAGATAGATACTAATTGCTTATGATCGGTGATGATGGTGATTAGTTTGACATAGACGTACGTATATGTAAAATGTTCAAAAGCCTAAATAGCTGCAAGACCTTCTTGCTCCGTCTGTGAATTTCTCTGCTCAACTTGTGAGAGGGTTCTGCTTGCATATGCTACAACATGGTGAGTTTGTGGATTTACTTGCATTAGTAGGGCTTCAAGTCCAACTGGGATGGCATCAACGTATAGTTGAGTGTCATGGTATGAATTAAACTTTTTTAGAACAGGTTCATTTACCAGTGCATCTGGTAGAGCGACTAGGATTTAATCATGACTGTCAGTCCATTTCCACGGAACATCCGTTCGCGTTAGGTCGCGAAGTGGTTGAGTTAGATAAGATAAGATAAGATTTATTGGTTCTCTCTTCTCGCGCAGGAGAGGTTCGACCCGTACAGCAGTTACAAAACAACAACTGACAATATATAAAAATTAATTATTGAAAAGATAAATGAGTAAAGAAAGAAAAACTGGACAAGCAACAGAAATGTTACTTTCATTATTCTGTAGGAATAACTTTATGTACAAAAAAAGAAATTGAGAAAGAAAAAAAAATAGAGAATTCAGTTAAAGAATATAAAGTAAATAAATAAATAAAAATGACAAAAAATATATGTTTATAAGTACAGTAAATAACATAAAAATTAAATATTGGTAGTAATGTTTTTCATTAGTTCAGTTCTTTCAGTCATTGCTTTTGTTAAATATGTTTTACAATGGTTATCGAATATGTTACACATTTCAATATTCTGGTATGCATCAAAAATATTATCTAAAATTAAGTGGTGACTAAATTCACATGAACCTTCTAAGAAAATGTCCCAAAAGTACCTATTAATTTTACATAAGTCAGTTTTCAAAATTTCAAAACATGCATTTCTTATAGAGGATAGACCTTCACAATCAAATATAAAATGGTCGACCGTTTCTAAATCTCTTTTTTTGCAAATATTACAATGGCCCGAGCGCGTATCTGACCATGCCCATTTTCTGCCTTCAAGATAGAACATTAGTTTTAGATTTGAACTTTAAATGTGTACCTTTAAAATTCAATTTGTCCAAAAGTTAGTATTCTAAATTTGGTATATTTTTGTATTTAATGTAATCCTGCAGTGATGATTTTTTAGTTGCTTTTTGAAACCATTCTTTATTATTGTTATCTGAGATCATATTACTAAAAGATTTTATCCACTGAGTATTTTGTGGTTCCATATTATATATATCATTTAGATCATATTTGTCTAATAATGCTTTAATGTTATCGATCCATTTCCATCGTGTAAGTGATCTAACCTCCGTAAGTGATTTACATAGTAGTCTAGGCAATCTATCCTCATCCAGTTTTAAGCCTATCAAAATATTTTATTCTAAATTTGTTTTGCATCGTTTCCATTGATTGCCACCCTAAGTCACCAAGTAAAGCTTCATTGGCAACATTCCTACATAGGTTTATTTCCGTTGGGGTCATGAAAAATAGTAATAAAGTATAATTGACAAGGTTTTATGACATGATTTCATTGGTTATGACTCTCTCTTATTCGATAAGTAGTCTTTTACCATGTTCTTAAATAGTGAAAGGCTAGCGGAGCTCTTTATTTTGCTTGGAAGTTTGTTCCATTTATGGATGACGGTAGCATAAAATGTGCCATCGATAGCTTTAGATGCTTTCGGTGAGATAAAGTTGAAATCGCTTTGACGTGTACCATGACTGTGCTGGGCACATACTTTAGCCAAGTGGCTATTTAGGTACGATGGAGCAGAATTATTTAATATTTTATGCAATGTGCTTAATTTAATTTGTGTTACTCTATCTTCGACATTTTAGTAATCCAAGTTTATTTAATTCTTTCAAGCCAACATGGCTTCGAGGTCCTTCGTTCGTTACGTACCTAACCATATTGTTTTGCACAACTTGTAATTTGTTTTTACATTTCTTTGTAGTTCCAGAGTACCATGATGAGCAAGCGTAATCAAAATTACATTGAATGAGGGCAGAGCATATGTTTTCCTTGCGTTTTCGTTCAGAAAAGATGCTTGCCTATATAAAAATTTCAGTCTAACTACAGTTTTTTTGACAACTCGAAAAATATGTTCACCCGACATGGATTGATCGAGTGTTATACCAATTTATCGAAGAAGATTCATTTATTGGTACTCAATTGCAACGAACTGAGAATTAATTTGCTTCCTTCAATTTGTGATTATTTCCAAACAGTATTGCTTAAGTTTTGCCGAAGTGAATTAATAGCCTATTGTCAATGAGCCATTCGTGGCAGGATTCTAATTCTTTACTCAGTTTACTGGCCAATAAAGTTGGATCTTTTCCGGATACCATTAAAACACTGTCATCTGCATATAAAATAAGTGTGCAGTTGACACTAATTGACATATCGTAAATATAATAAAGAAATAGAAGTGGGCCTAGTATACTTCCTTGTTGGACACCACAGGTTATAGGAAGTAAACCTGACTCAACCTTGTTTACACAAACCGACTGTTGTCTGTTTTCTAGATAGGATTTAAACCACTGGATTGATAAATCCTATGCCCATGAGCCATTATCTCCAGTTTGCTAATTAAAATACCGTGGTCAACTGTATCAAATGCCTTTTGTAAATCTAACGCTACCATACCAAAATAATATCCATTAGACATTTAGGTACGAATATAATCTGTCATATGAATCAAACACGAATCTGTTGAGTATTTACGCCTAAAACCTGATTAAAATTCAAACAAAATATCATTTTCTGTGAGATACCGTCCATTTGGATGAATACTGCTCGTTCAAGTATTTTTGACATAGTTCTCAAAATGCTTATTGGTCGATAGTTACTTACAACTGACTTGTTACTCTTTTTAAATATAGGATGTATTCGATTGAAGTCGTCAGGGACGGTTTTAGTTAGGATAGACAAATTCATAATAAATCGTAATCGAATGTTTTCTAAAATTTTATCATCTATCTATGGTTCGGTTCTATTTTTTAGTCTTAATTCTTTTAATAGTGCAATTTCGTAAATAACTTTTTTCATAATTGATTTACATTTTGAACAAGCTTGGTTAACAGCGTTAGTGTTAAGTACTCTAGAACAATCAGAATTTGATAGCTTGGAGATAAATGCAGAGGCAGTATATTTCTTTAGAGACTTTATTTTTATGGTCGCTTATTCCAACACCAGTGGTTGTTTCCTCATCGCCAATATTATGTTCTTTGATAATTACTGTGTTGTGTAAAACAGAGCAACAAGAACATGCTTGGGTCCATTGAACGATTTGTTACTGAACTACTGTACCTTTCTTTGTCGGTTAGCTTACAATACTGTGTGGTTTGAACATCACAGCATACAGCAACAGTGCTTTCCCGTGTGACCAGGGGCGGATTTAGATGGGAGGCCTGCCCCTCCCCCCCCCCCTTCTTCTTAGTTTTCTCATAAACTCTGAATAATCTTGGTGTAACTCCTGATTACGCTGAAGTTTGGTCTTCAATCCTGCTAACCTCTTAATCGCCATACACTTATAATTAGGGAGTATTGGAGCTGTCTCTTATACACCTCTAGATGTGTATAAGAGACAGCCCCCACACTTTTGGACATCTCTGGATTCGCCCCTGGTGACTGTTGTAAAATATTAAAATGTATTATGACTTAAATCATCAGGGTAATTTCACTTTTATACTACAATGTAGTGAAAAGGTCCGGTGCAACTATATTCAGTTTAATTTAGTGAGGTACGGTACTTAGTGAAACTTAGCTTCTGAATTTCTGAATGTTACTGATCATTAAGAATCATTGTCATAAACTACGTCCATACCAATCCAGTCGTGATGCAGACTTCGGGCTCGAATGTTGGGGTGTCTCTACTTCAGACATATTTGGGTTGTCGTGCAGTTCTGCCTTAAATATTGCAACGTTTGGCTGATAAACTGTGGTTTGAAGCAGTTTGTTCTATTCTCCTGGTGTTTTAATAAAGAAATCCTCTTGTTTTTTTTAGCACAGTGCTCAACATATTGTTTACTGCGTCCTCTCGTGGGCTAATTTGTTGTTTCTCTCTTACGTAGGGATTTACGATCTACAATCAGTTGACCATTCCTAATTTTGGATAGTGTAGCTAGGCTATGGATCTTCCTTTCAATTTGCAGGGGTTTCCAGCGGAGGGTCTTGAGCATTTAAGATACGCTTGCGTCCCTTGCCTGTTTGAATTTGCTGCTTGAGTAGCTGCGTGCTTGGACCAGCTCATATCGCATTGTAGTTCTCTCATATCGCACTGTAGTTCCAGCCCAAGGTATTTGATTTATTTGACGTTTTGCAAGAGAACAACAAATTATCTTATATTGGAAGATTCGGGGCCGTGTTTGTTGAGTGTCTACGCGCATTGTGTGGCATTTGGATGAATTAAATACGACGATAAGACGAGATTTCGAAGATACTTTTTTATAAACAGTAAGTGTTATACGTGAAGATATATTCGAGGGCAAAACGCAGGCACTATACTTATTCGACTTTCGAGGTTACGCTCTTCTCAGAAACTACATGAAAAATATACATAAAACAGTAC